TTCCAATCGTGTGTATTATCCCACCAAGTTTCTGTGATGCCAACAATATCATAATTGTACTTATTTATTAGCACTTCCAGTTCTACCTGCTTGTTTCCCATACTTCTCGCATTTGTATATAGGCATCTAAGATACTGATTTGACCTTGCCTCCCAGTTTTGCCCTGACCGTCCTTTCTCTCTGCCATTATAGCCCATGCTCCCTCCCATTTCCGACCCATCTTCCAGGTCTCCATGTTCTCCACTTACCCGTGGGCTTTGCTCACCTGTCCTCATCGAACCTAGTTTAAAGCCCTCCTCACTAGGTTAGCCAGTCTGTATCCAAATAGGGTCTTCCCCCTCCTCGAAAGGTGAACGCCATCTCTGCCCAGCAGTCCTTCCTGGAATAGCATCCCATGGTCGAGGAAGCCAAAGCCCTCCTGGCGACACAATCTTCACACCAGGCGTTCACCTCCAGAATGCACCTGTCTTTGCCTGGGGCCCTACCTTTGACAGGAAGGCGCAGGTGGTATTCTTTGATCTCCAAAGTCCTTCACTCGTACTCCCAGAGCCCTGTAGTCACTCTTGATCCTCTCAGTGTTACACCTTGCAGCATCATTTGTGCCCACATGGATGAGTAGCATGGAGTAGTAGTCAGAGGGCGGATAATCCTCAACAATGCCTCCGTAACATCTCTGATACAAGCCCCTGGCAGACAGCATGCTTGCCGAGAAGAAATGTCAGGGCAACAGATGGGCACCTCCATCCCCCTCAGAAGAGTCTCCTGTTCGCAGTGGTGGCAGCAAACCTACCAGCCTTGAGGATACTGGGCTTCTCCTCCTCTGCTGTAGGGGGTGATTCCTTATCTCCTGTGTAAAGAAGAGCCTAACGGTTTCCTAGTACCATGGCGGGAGGGTTCGGAGCAGTGGTGGTGCCAGAGGTAACCAGCTGCTGGTGTCCACCCTGAGCTGTTGTCTCCTCCCCCAGTGGTGTGTCCACACTCCTCTGTTCTGGGACAGCTACCTCGGCCGTCTCCTCATGAATACGGTCCAGGAATTGCTTATGGATTCGGGTGCTCCTCAACCTGGTCACCTCCTCCTGTAGCTCTAATCAAGATATTTGACTTATTTGCCTCTATGTATGGGTCTGGGTGCTGGTGATATTTTTTAAAGTCAATGATAGTCCTACTTACAGCAGCTTCATAAATAAAGATGCAGATCTTACTTTTTAACGCAGGGGTCGGCAACTTTTTAGAATTGGTGTACTGAGACTTAGCTTATTCACGGATCTGTGTGCCGAGGGGAGGGCAGGCTGGTTATGGACACCTTATTTTCTGAACCAGCTGCAGTTAGTGAGAATGGTTTAATTTAGATTATGGAAACAGATTAAGTGTGTTAAACTAACATGAGAAATTTATCAAACTTCATTTTAAATTTAAATATGTCCAACACAAACTATCAATCTTTTCTTTCTTAATGGCAGGGACAGGGAACTGCTTTTGCGTCGGGGTCACTGATCCACAGAAAAATCAGTTGGGGACCATGCAAGTGAAGTTTAAAAAAACTCCAGCAAGAACCCCCAACATTCACTTGTGGCCCCAACTGAGATGCTTCACTCCTCTGGTGCCCAAGCCTCACAGAGTGAGGTGAGGGGAAGAGCAGAAGGGGGACTGAGGCTCAGGGCATCCCATAGACCAGATTTACTTTTCTGGAGTTAGTGGATTTTTATGGGCCTCCTTAGGCTTTGGGGGAGGGACAAAAATGAGGGGGTACAGTGCGCGAGACAGGGATGCCAGCAAGTAAGATAGGAATGGGGTGCAGGATCTGGGAGGGAGGTGGAGTGCAGAAGCAAGCTGGGAGTAGGGTGTCTGGCCAGGTGGATGGAGCAGGAGCAAGGGAGGGTGCAGTATGTGGCCAGGAGAGGGTGCAGGAACAAGGGAAGGTGTCAGAGCAAGCTGGGGATGCCTGGTCTTGGGGCAGGGGGGAGGGAAGTGAGGGGTTTGGAGAAGGGTCTGGACATGAGGGAGGACCTTATCTGGCTTTGTGCCCCCTTGCCTAGCCTGCTGCAGGGAGGAGGGAGTGCTTTCCAGTGGCTGCATGGAGGAGGAGGGGCAGGACTGAGCTCCTTCATGTGTGCTGCTGAAAATCGGCTTGCTGTAGGTTGCTAACCTCTGTGCTGAGGGGCGGGGTCTGAAATGGCCTCGTGGGCCGAATCAAAGACCCTGGGCTAGGGACACCATTCCTAACTATCCTGGCTAATAGCCATTGATGGACCTAACCTCCATGAATCTATCTAGCTCTTCTTTGAACCCTGTTAAAAGTTCTAGACTTCACCACATCCTCTGGCAAGGAGTTCCACAGGTTGGCTGTGCTCTGAGTGAAGAAAAACTTGTTTGTTTTTAAACCTGCTGCCTATTAATTTCATTTAGTGACCCCTACTTTTTATATTATGGGAATAAGTAAATAACTTTTCCTTATTCACTTTTCCCACACCAATCATGATTTTAAGGAAAGATTGGCAAAATTTAGAATTTTGATCCCACAGGAAATTACAATATTGCAATATGTTAGGATGACCATATTTCCTTATACAGAACATACGGTAAAATTACTTGCATTCGAGCGAATTCAGCAGTAATCAGAGCTATGCAGTACAAAATTCAAATTATCACGTTGACAGCCCCTGTTAAAAAGAAATACTGCATAGTTGGATTCTTCATATTTTTAAGGCATTAGTGGTGTGTCCCTGTGTGAACCCTATGCCCCCATTCCCCTCCACACAGGAAAGGTGACACACATTCTTGTATGCCTTCTCCTTCACAGGGAAGTTGACCTGCCTACCAGGGATGTTAAATATTGTGTAAATTGTTGCAGCTTACATGATTAACTCTCTCTCTCTGAAGCTTTTAAAATATAGTGGTTACACAGTTATTAAAATGCTCCCCGGGTGTGGCACCAGCTACCAGTGCAGTCCCACTCCCATTCTTGGGAAGGCCCCCTGCTATCCCACACTGCTGTCTCTGTATTGGAGACAGCAGTGTAGGGTGGCAGGTGGAGCTGGTCCACAAAGGGAGCTGGCTTAAAAATTGGCTCCCTATGCTGCCAGCTCCCACCTGCTACCCTGTGCTGCTGCCTCCGATACAGGGGCAGCAGTCCCTTTCCATGGGGGCCTGAGCTTCCTGCAGACAGAGGCTGCTCTGGCATCCAGCCTGGGCCCCCTCCTTTCCCTCCCACACTGCTGCTTCTGATACAGAGGTAGCATGGGGGCGGGGAGCAGGTGGCTCTGTGGAATCTGGTGCTCCATGGGGAACCACCTTTTAAGCTGTCTCTCTCAAGCACTGGATTGCAAGCACTGTGGGAGGCAAGGGTGGGGGCACAGGGAAAGGTGGCTCATGGAAACTGGCATGTGTGGGGAGCTGGCTTAAAAGCCAACTCTCCATGGGTACTGGCTCCTGTCCTCTCCTCCCCCACTGCCTCTGATACAGAAGCAGCAAGGGGCAGGGGTTGCCCTACTGCCTACTTGATTTTCCCTGGTGCTCTCTGCTCTGAGTGGGGCTTGGCCCCAACTGGTGTTTTGTCTACCTTAGGAAATATATTGCTGGGGTGGTGAATATCTGCATCCTGTCCCCACCTAATCTCTGCCAGGGTTCACACCAGAACATGACCAGCAGCATCCTTTCAGCACTGTGTGGGAGGGAAGGGATAGGAGCTGCTTCCAGGAGGGGAAGGAGGGAAGGAATGACTTGGCCCTTGGTTTGCAGGACTCCTCTCTTTTTGTTCCACCCATCCACTGCCATGACTGGAGGCTGTTTATTCCTTCCTGTCCAAACAATGTCAAAAAGCAGCTAATACTTCCAGGCTGGTCACCAACAACTCAGCTGCCTCCAGTTACAGCATGAGCAGGAAGTGGTTAAGCACTAAAAGCTGAGGAAACCCACCTACAGGAGCTTTCGCTGTCAGAAGGAGGGGTAGCTCAGTAGAGGATGTTGCTTAGGGGCTGACCAACCCCGTGTTCTCTGGGCGTGACCCAGGATGGCTGGAGGGGTGGGTGAAGAGGGTGCTAAGCTTCTGCCCAGAGGGTTGCTGTGAAGCCTGCAGGTTTGGGACAGGAACAGGCTGGAATTACTTGCCATCCACACTCTCCACCTGCAGAGTTTAGCTGGGGTGCATAGAGGCTTTTGTGTGCCAGTGCTGTGCGGGGCTTTCTGCTGATGACTAGGAAGGGATCAGATCCAGCTTAGCCCTTAGTTTTACTGCATCCTGTAAACTTAAAAGGAGTATAAAGCCATAGAATCTAACAATCACTACGACATGCAGAAATTAGTATGAATACAGACAGCAGAGTTCAACTTTGACAGTTATTCTCAGTCGAATGACTTAAATGGCAGTCACTCTAGCTGTTGAAGATTTTCCTATTTCTGAAGGTTATCTTATCCAACTCATTGGTTAGCAGAATGAAGGCTGAAACTCAAGTGTTGCCTTGGGGTTGAAATTAGGTGGCAAAACTTTTGTTGCTGAGAGCTGGAGATCCCAGATGTCAGATGCCATCTGCCAAAGACGAATGTCTTTCTATGCTTCTTTCCACCCTAAATGTTTTATATTAAAGCCTTTGATACATGTCTGTGGCTTGGTGGCACTAGAAATTGTTCCTAGTAAACCAGGGCCAAATACTTTTTGCAGGATATTTCAATAAAGATTTGCTTAGGGTGTCACTGTTCTGCTACTAAGTGATTGGTTCCTGAATTGGAAAAGGGAACCCAGAGATGCTGACTTATTGTCAAGTTGTGTTAAAGCAGTAAGGTGTTGATATGTTTGTCATGTAAGTGGGCAGGGTTGTAAGAGGGACTCGGAAGACCAAAAAATGAATCCAGCTAAATGTTTGTGGGATCTTGGCCATTGGATAGAGGAAGTGATGAGGATGTTAGTAGGATGCTAGCCAACCTAACAAGCTGTTGCATACTCTGGGCTGGGTTAACATAATGAATTTCACATTCAATACACAGTTCTCAAGATATTGTGTTAAAAGATTAGTGTTTACACACCTGGAACACAGCTACATAGTGTGTGACTCTGCGTGCCACTTCATGCTGCCTTTTAGTAGCCAGGAGCCCACCACTGATGCAGTAACCCATGGGGGAGGCCCTGCATAAATATCTATTAATGCTGATGACTCAATTCTTATGGCTTGTGGGTGACCCTGGATGTACAACAGTTAGAAGGGTGAGTGATTGCATCTTTATTTTCCCTTGCAGAAAAGGAATCTCTTTGCATTCTTTGACATGGCGTACCAGGGCTTTGCCAGTGGGGACATAAACCGGGATTCCTGGGCTGTGCGGCATTTTATTGAGCAAGGCATTAATGTTGTTCTGTCTCAGTCCTATGCCAAGAACATGGGTCTCTATGGTAAGTATTGGGAGAGGAAGATGGCTCAGAGGATTAATGATGAGCTATGAGTCTTTCACTTCCAGGTTGCTGATGTGAAAGTCAGCTGAAGTATTAGTGACCAAAAATCCCTTCCTTCTGGTTTCTGTCCATCAGATCCATGTCCTTTTGTCTCCTAGAGGCACTCTCACAGAAGGGATATCTGGACAGGTCTGGGGTACTGGGGAAGCTCATGTTACTCTACCTATGATGTTCCCTCTGCAAATGGGGACTCCTGTGGTGTCCCAAGGGAAGTGTAATCCGAATGCTGGAGGTCTGCAACATACATTGCCTGTTGAGGTAAATGGGTGTGATCTGACCTGGATTGTGTTTCAGGGGAGCGTGTGGGTGCCTTCTCCGTGATCTGCAAGGATGCAGATGAAGCCAAGAGAGTGGAATCCCAGCTGAAGATCCTGATCCGCCCTATGTATTCAAACCCACCAATCAATGGAGCTCGCATAGCTGCCACCATCCTGACCGCTCCTGACCTGCGGAAGGAATGGTAAGGCAACTCTCCTACAGAAGCCTGTTTCCCATCCTAAGCATGCTAGAAGCAAAGGTGCTGTGTAAGAATGATGCCGGTCAAACTACTGAATAAGTCAGACTAAATAAGGTTCTCTATTGTAGATGGAGCACAAAGGAATGAACCTTAGGTGGACCTGTCCTGTCAGCCACAATGGGGCATCTTCAGCCAAAGAAGGGGGAAATACAAAAGGCTTTATCTTAGAAGGAAGCTTTTAAACAGGGCACAGTCTTCCCACCATGCCTGCTCAGTGATGGTCATCAAAGAGAAATATAACTTAGACTGAACACTACACTTCAGGGCTCCTAGCTCAAATATGCTGATCAAGGTGCTTCTTTGCATGGGTCTCCTGTGTGCAGTAACAGTGCCTGGGTGCTCTAGCACCAAGCTGCTAGCAAGCACAGAGACAGAAAAGCCACTTGCGCTACGTTGCTGCAGGGAAGGTCCCAATGTATAGTTCAGTTCTTCCAGGATGGGAGTCCCCTTTAAATACAGCTTCCTCTCGTTTTTTAACACCTCTTCTATGAGGAAATGAAATGGTGTTTGTTTTAAGCTCTGCTCCCCTCTGAGTACAGCTGAGGAAAGTAACCTTCTGATGTAACTGCAGTGTTTTTCTAATCCTATTGATCTGTTGCTAGAGTTCATGGTCCTTGGAGGCAGCTGACTTGGCAGAACAAAAGGGGAAGGCTGTGTCCTCTAGCCCTCACCCCACTGGGAATTTTGATAGCTGTCTCCATTTGGCAGACATTTCTTTAGCATGGTGCTTATAACTGGAACAGACATAGCCCATATGCGGGATGGGTCGATTTTTGGGGAGTAGTGATTGTCATCTTCCAAATACAGTAGAATTGCATTTAGTTCCTCCCAGAGATGGAGGGGGGAAGGAAAATGAGAGCAGCTACAGGAGACTGGAGCCTTTTTAGTGCCTAAGCAACAGCCCCAGGCTCCACAGGTGTAGTACAAATAGTGAGGGGCATAGCTGGATGTCTGTCATAGCCAGGAAGCACTACAGCGCACCAAGGAGATTCCAGACCCCCTGAGGCTATATCTACTCTCGCTCCCTACCTGCATTCCTTCCTTTTATTCCCCCCCTCTTCCAGCCTTGGAGACTAGATTCACTGCTTCTTCGACCTGGGGAAGTAGCTGGCCATATACCTATGCTTCCATTTATCTGGAAATCCTTTCAAATCAGGGTTCCTGCCTTCTTAATATTTGTTAAATCCATGGGCAATTTAATTGACATAGGGCTGCATGGACATGACACTGTTGATTTGAATAAATAGGATTCTTGAATAAATGGAATTCCGATAACTGGAAAAGACTTCCCCACCCTCTTTCCCCACAGTAAGATCTAGGGAGTTGAATGTTGGCCTGAATGGCGTCAAACATTTCTGTTCATGATGAGCCCCTTCATATTTAAAGCCTATGGCTTGAGTGTGCTTAACAATCAACCCTCTACAATGGGAAATTGTGAGTATGATGGATCTCAACCTGGTCCGCTCAGAACTGAAGTCCACATCACAACCACTGCACATAATCAGGGTAATGGAAGAACTTCCGTCTCCTGATTACAGGAGAGAGGTAGCTCCTGAAGTAGTGCTGAACTAAAGCCCTAGTCTTGCTTTGCCTCTTGCTGAAGCCACCAAAGCGACCTTTTGCCTGTAGCACTCTCAATTGAATATATGTGCAACCTGTTTAAAACAGCAGTGTATAACTTCACTTCTCTGTCAGGTTGATGCCCAATGTGACCTATGAAGAGGGAAGCTTTAGAGGTGTGTTCTTGGGTAGTAGACTGCACTTACCTTTGTCTGAATCTGGTGTCTGTGCATTTCCTTTCTGTTGCTGCTCCTGCAGGCTGGAAGAGGTGAAAGGGATGGCGGATAGGATCATTGGCATGCGCAAACAACTGGTGGCCAACCTCAAGAAAGAAGGCTCGTCCCACAACTGGCAACACATCACCGACCAAATTGGAATGTTCTGTTACACAGGGCTGAAACCGGAGCAGGTTTGTGTGATTCTTCCGAATCTACCTGTAAAAACAGTTCTCCTGTACTAAGAGGAGCAGGAAGCACATGGATGTCCCTTTTGCAGCAATCTTCTATCCCTTCAGGCTAGACTATTATAAAGGTACCATGACAGGTCACGTTTTCCAGTAACTCGAGATTTCACAGATGTCTGAGGAAAAATCATAGAATCCTCGAAATGTCTGGCTGGGAAGGGACTTGAAAGCTCCCTCTTGCCATGTTCTCAGAGCAGGGCTGTGTTGTCTGTTGCGACTATCTAAAAACCAATTGCAGTGATGATTAAAAATGAAACTCAATCCTACTGGTATACAAGTGCCCATGGAGGAGATGAATACATCTGTTTATGCCTGCTTTATAGAGACATGTGATCCAGAATACTAGAGGATTGATAATTTAAATAGTCTACAAACTGTCTTCCATTAAGCTGTCTACCAGACCTTAAGTCAAAGGTTTGGCTTCCTGTTAGAAATTCGGAAAATATTTACAACCCTGCTGCAAAGGGGGTGTGAGCAAGTATCTTGGACTCAGATCTTGTTTACAATAGGGATGTTAAATTTAGTTGAATCAACTAATGGACAGAATTTCCATCGACTAGTCGATAAGCAAGGGAGCTGCGGCAGGGTTAGCTCCTGAGACTGGCTCTTAACAGTCTGGTGCGCAATGCAGGGGACCATTTAAAAAGCAAAGGCACACGTTTCCTAGGACTAGGCACAAGCAAGGAATCAGCTCATTCTTGGATTGCGTCTGGTCCCCACTACCTCCTTGCCTTCCCTTCCACCTGCAGAGATGGTGCTGAGGTGGGGACTGGCTTTTAAGCTGGCTCCCCGCAGCACCAGCTCTTGCTTCCCCCTGCCCCTCCTGCCCACTCTGTCAGAGGCAGCAAGCAGGGGGAAGTGACTAGTCAAGGGATTAGTCAACTATCCGATAAGCTTATGCTTATTGGATAGTTGACTAGTTGCTTGCATCCCCAGTCTGCAGTACAGACGTATATCAGTATAACTGTATCACTCAGTGTGAAAAATCCCACACTGCTGAGCAACAGTTACATGTGGAGCCCTGCAACTCTGGATATCTGTGGAACATATTTGTGGATCAGATGCGACACAGATTTTGTATCCACTCAGAGCTCTAGTGGTACAAGCCTGCTTCCTTTCCCTTTCCTGTCCCATCTGGATAGGACTTTGTTGGCAGGAGAGCTCCTTCTGACATAGCGACAAGGAGTCCTGTAGCACCTTATAGACCAACAGATGCATTGGAGCATAAGCTTTCATGGGCAAAGACCCACTTCGTCAGATGCATCTGACAAAGTGGGTCTTTGCCCACGAAAGCTTATGCTCCAATATATCTGTTGGTCTTTAAGGTGCTACAGGATTCCTTGTCGTTTTTGCAGAACCAGACTAACACGGCTACCCCGCTGATACTTGACACCTTCTGACATAGCTACTGCATCTCAGGGAGGTGGATTAACCATGTTGATTGGTGAGCTCTCCCAGTGCGCGCCCCCCCCCCCATCAGCATAGTGTCTTTAAAGCAGCACACCTGCACCAGTGCAGAATTTTAAGTGTAGATATGCTCTGAGAAACTAGCTTCTCTTGACCTGATTGATCCGCCGAAGTCTTTCAGGCACTGTTCACCTACTAATGTCTCCCAAAGTCCTTGCTGTGCCTTGATCTTTGTTTATTTTTAACAAGGTTTGCCATTTTCTTTGGCATATGGAAGTCTTGAATGGGCTAAACCATAGCTTACTAACATGCCAGTTACTCATGAAGAGGACTGTCTTGCCTGCCTCCTCCCAGAAGTGGCTATTTTCAGTTTAATGTTTTAGTGCTCACATGAGAACCTTCAATTAGTTTAGATTTTAATTACTACATCTCCCTCTTGGCTGACCATTTTTGTGCACTTTGGCATTAGTGTGAGTTGTAGGGCTGGTCAAAGAGCAGTCTGCAAGCCAAGTGCAACCTAGAGATCTGTGCTGTGACCTGGGAATGCTACCTTCTTTCATATGAACTGTACTTCCCAGCATGTAGTGCTGAATCTCTACTAAGGGTGTGTGTGTGTGCCTGAAGCCATTGGTTAATCTTCATGGTTACACGCAGCTGTAAAATTTCAGCATTACACATTTACCTAAATTAAATATCCCTCATTTCTACCTATTTACTGCTAGCATCAGGAAGAGTATTTCATGATGGGATGCAGTCTCCCATGGTCAGAGGTCAAGGGGAATCTGGGGGGCCACTGGCCATGTGACCTCACCCCCCCCACACCCCCCTGAAGCCCAGAGAAGGGCTGGGAACCTCCACCCTGCCTCTTCCCCAACCAAGGCAGCTCGAGGGACTAGCTAGGATGCTGCTGGCAGCAGGGTTCTGTACCCCACCTGCACTCACTGGAAGCAGAAACAGAGCAAGGTGGCCCTGCTTCTTTGCTCCCCCAGCTGCCCTGTGACTCTGCTTCCGACTGGGTAGTGCAGGGATGATCCCTCCCCTGAAGTGGTGTGGCTAGGAGAGCAAAGCAGTATACCTGCCCTGCTCTGCTTTCCCTGCCAGTAAGTGAGTGTAGGATGGCCCCTTGCTTTTCCCCCTCCCATCCACAGCATCTGTGGAGAGGCAATGACCCCTAATGGCACCCCTCCCCCTGCACATCACCCCTGTCCATAGTCTACACTATTTTAGGCAAACTGGCTGTGACTTGAGGCCCTGGCAAGCTGCCAAAGCTGTCCGTCAGTTAGGATGATGTATGGACTCTCTAGAACTAAGTACTTTATATTTTTTCCCCCCACCTTAGGTGGAGCAACTAACCAAGGAATTCTCCATATACATGACAAAAGATGGCCGGATCTCCATGGCAGGGGTCACATCTGGTAATGTGAATTATCTAGCTGGTGCAATACATCAAGTCAGCAAGTAAACACAGTGGAGCAGATGGCCTTTCCTTCAACGGTCTTTGAACTTTGACGCAAGAGGATGAACGGGAGATTGCATTTGGGCATTGGGGCAAGCAGAATGTTTACTGTCAACCACAGCACTTGACTGTCATGTAATGTATCTCGTGTACCAGCCCAGCTAGAAGCATCAGCATATCCTAGCCAAAGCCACCTGCCTTCTGACAGGGATGTCACTGGTTCCTGCTGCTTTCTTCAGAAATAACTTTGTTACCCACCCTCTTCCCTATACAGACACCCTTCAGGCTTTAAACATCTTGGCAGAACTCCTGCATCTAGAATGATAGAATGCTGAGCGAAGTCTGTGCCCATCCCTTACTTGGGAGGGGAGAAGGCTTCATAATATAGCTCATTTAGAAACAGTAACTGAACTAAAACAGGATCAAGGCCCTAGCTTCCACCCCAAAGATCAAGTAAAGCATCACTACATTCATGTACAGCCCTACTGTCTAGTACAGATTCTTCACTTGCTTTAATCCAATCATTTGCAGAATGCCTCTTAAGATGAAAAGTTTGTACATAATTGAAGGTTTCTGTGCTCCTCCAGATTGGTGGATTCCAGGAGTGAATGTGGCGCACAGCTTTTGCTCTAATGATTTTTAAAACTTGCTTGAAATCCCAAATAATTAACCCTTTGCTTGTCAGCTTGGATCACTAATTTATTTTAAAATTGCTCCCTCTTTAGAGTGCTACAGATAGTACCAGGTGTTCTCTCCTTTCATGTTTCTACCACCTTTTACAGCCATAAAAGCAGGGAGGGAGCACTTTTCAGTGACCAATTGCAGAAAGGCTACAGAGGGTCTGAATTTGATTGTGAACAAATAAAACTGAAAAGCTTTAGGGAATTCCTGATATCAAAGCCTGTGCAATTTCTGGCCTTCCTAATCATGAATCTCACTTCGGTTAGAGAAACAAGTGTTGCTGTGTTAGGGCCTGTAAGTCAGATCAGTGCCTCCTGGGGATGTCATTTTTCACTTCAATCTTGTTGGGAAACATGGCTTGCTTCATTTTCTCTCTTTCTCCCTTGGAAAGCAAAGTGCTTCTTCCTGCTCTAAGATACTACTCTGAGAAGTGGCCCCCTTTTTGCCTAACTTGGTTGTAGTGTATACATAATGACGACCAACTTGAGCTGTTAGATATGTTAAATTTCTGCTTTCTCTCGAGAGCCGAGAGTGTGCTGGTTTGATTTCCTTATGCGTCCACAGACCTAATTGGCCCTGGGTTTGAAATTTTGTTAGATATGCATAACTTCCAAGGGGGTTGTGCCAAGAGAGTATACTTAACTAGAACTATCAGCATTAATGATCATTTGTAGGAGGGAAAGATCCCAGTGTGAAGGGGTGCTCATTTAAAAAAAAAAAAAAACTCTCTCCTTGTAAACCAAGAGCTGTTTCTTGGCAACTGATCGATAATTAAGGAAATCCCCTGATGTCTGTTCTTCCATAGTCACTCCTTAGAGTGGAAGTGGACCCTAAATAGAACCTCTTGTATGCAACTTGAACCCATACTGATCAATTCTGGCTTTGCAGTGTTGATCAGCTGAAGCTGACTTGTATGAGCCCCTTCCCCTTTATATCTTCCACAGTGTGTGTCATTTTACAGCGAGTGAGCTGTTGACATAGTTCTGTCCCCCAAACCCAGTTTCAGGGTACATTTTCAGCCTTGCATTTAAATGTCTTGAGTGATGTTTAAAGCCCATGGCTTCCCATTGATATGAGTAGGGGTTACTTAGCTAAATCTCCAATCTACTTCTTAAACTAATTGGAACACTTTGAATGGAAATAGTTTGCATTAAGGCCTGCTGATCTGTTGTAACCAACAATAAAGTGTTTCTGTGCTGTAAGGTGGCATGGAGTTCAGTTGCTGAAAGCAGAGGCATGAATGTGAACATACATGAGGTAGATACATACAAGTTGCTGTTTCCAGCTCTGATCCCTCATCTCTGGGGTTTTTTTTTGGGGGGGGGGGTTTGCTTCCCACTTGCTCCGAGACTAAGTGGCTCCATTGCTCTCACCTGTACATGGGGATTTTCCTAACTTAGTCCCTATGGGCTTTCTGTTGCTATGTAGCTGTCACTTCTGTAGTTTCTTTCAGTGAACATCTGAGAATATCCTGGTCAATCCTAAGCAGCTACCTCTATGCCCAGGAGAAAAAGGCATAAAGGAGGATTCTAACCTGTCTCAAGTAAAGAGAAGTTGATTGCACTTTAATTGCAGTGGTGATGTACATGTCCTCCTGGGAGTTACTGATGCTACCTGCCCCAAAGCCTTTGCTACTTTCTCTCTCGTGCATCTGGTCAAGGATTGACATTTCTGTGCTATGGTTGTAAACTTCTGTGTGCTTCCAGTTCTGATCTTCACCCTTCTAGGCAAAACCATCTGCCATCGTGTACTGTAACCGTTTAGGCCTTTATGCAGCCTGTTCTCTCTGATGCAATAAAAATACAGCTAGAGTGTATCCATGTTTTTCTGAATAAGTCTAAACCCTTGAGTGAAACTTCTCTGTTTAGCAGATTACAAACCCAGTCCGCCTAAGCTCACAAGTGAACTTGTTTTTAGGAAGCAGTGTTCTAAAGTTAACACTAAACAAAACTTCTTTCAGCAGTTTACTCAAATAATAAAACTGGGATATCTTGGATTTAAAAGAAAAGGTTGAGCACTAGAGCAGCCAAGGGTTTGAATGCTTCCATTTGGTGCATTTCCAGCTTCAGCTCCTCTGTGTCTGTCTCTTCCAAGGTGCTGAGTGCCTGAATCTCCCATCAACGTTAACCGGGAGGGGGCTCAGCATGTCTGAAACTCCCAATCCCCAGGGTGTCTCGAGGGACAGAGAGGCACCCTAAGTCCCTCACCAATTTGGAAACTGTTCATGGAGGGTGTGAAAAAGCAGCCAAAAATGAAGGAATCATTAACCTGAAGACTGTCCTAATCATTCTGGGTGGAATGGAATATAGAGATTGAAGATGGGTCTTCTATCTTGGGGTTTAGCTGGGTCATGCAGGGTACAAGTTATTACTGGGCATCCCTCCAACGTGCCTCTTCTGGTATGGGGTAAGTTAAGATCTCTTTGTACCTCCTGCCTTTGTTTGCTGGGGAGGAGGGAAGAAGTAGTGCGCCCCCCCTTCCCTTCCCCCCCATTTGGCTTACTGAATTATCTGTGTTTCGGTCTGGGCCTAGTCCAGTGTGGAGCTGGTTCTTATCCAGGTTCTGGTCTGGGTTTGGCCTGGTTCTGACCAAGACTCTGGCCCAAATTTTGGCTCAGTTCTGGATAAGAGTCTGGCCTGGTTCTTGCCTTGCTCATGGTCTATTTGTCACCCAGTTTGGATTGGCTCTGTCTTCAGGTCTGGCCAGATTCTGGAAGTTTGGGCTCAGATTTTAGCCTGGTCTTGGACCAGATTTTCACCTAGTTCTGGTCCTAATTCTACTCCAGCTCTTACCCAGTTCCAGTCCTACTTCTGGTCCATGTTGTCACATGGTTATGTCCCAGATTGTGTCCTGGGTTAGGTCCAATTATGGCCAAACTCTTCTTGCCTAGTTCTGGCTTGTTTCTGGCATAGTTAAGCCAGAGCTGGAGGCAGACCCAGATAAGTCCCACTCCAGCTCTGACTTTGGCTCTGGTTCCGCCTGTAGGTTGGGCTGTGGCTTTGGCCTGCCTTCTGCCCATGTTATTGCACATGTTCAGCTTTTTCCAGCCCACTCAATAGAAAAGTAACATTTTGATGGGGAGAGTTTTATAATACTGCCATGTAGTCCATGCCAATGGATAGTGTGACTGGTACCATCTGCAGCAAGATCCAACAAACTCCTCATCCTGGGTTTTACCCCCAAAACGTGTTCTGCAGTGTCCAGATCTTCCCTGCGCAGTCTGGCTATATTTTGTCCATCTCACAGCTGTAGTCATTAGGGATGTTAGAGAGTAGTCAACTGGAGTATTGTTTACTTGCTTTCTTCCCCCTGCCTCACCCTTGCTGCTTCTGAGAGGCAGAAAGGGGGAGGGGAAACAAGAGCTGGTGCTGGCAGGAAATGACTTAAAAGCCTGTCTCTCTCTCCCCCCGGGCTGCCTTCCCCTGTATTTGCAGAGGCAGCAGGAGAAGATAAGGGAGGCTACTGCGAAGCAGCCCCCTGTCCGCAGGGGTCCCAGTGGGGAGCTTTCCCTCCTCCCCCCATGGATAGGAGCTGCTGCCGCTGCCAAACAACTCGAGTTCATAGGGGTCCCAGCTGCCTGTGTGCATGGGCTGCTCTGGATGTATCGAGGGCTGCTACCCTGCAGGTGGAATAAGAGTTAGGGGGACAGCCTTCTGCCTTCCTGGGTTCCAAAGAGGCCCCCTGCTACGGGCTTTTTCCTTTTCCTCTCCTGATGAAGCCATTGTGGGGTTTCCTCCAGTGGTTCTCTGGGATGAGGCTAGGGTTCACCAGGAATTCCTTGTGAAGATGGCTACCAACCTAAATCTCCAGGTGGAGGAGCTGGAGGATATCCTCTTTTCGGTGCTTGAACAGGCAGTTTGGGCCAGGGTAGAATCATAGAACTGGAAGAGACCTCAGAAGGTCATCAAGTCCAGCTCCCTGCTCCAGGCAGAACCAATCCCAACTAAATCAACCCGGCCAGGGCTTTGTCAAGCCGAGACTTAAACACCTCTAGGGATGGAGACTCCACTACTACCCTAGGGAACCCATTCCAGTGCTTCACCACCCTCCTAGTGAAATAGTTTTTCCTAATACCCAACCTGAACCTCTCCCACCACAACTTGAGACGATTGCTCCTTGTTCTGCCATCCATCACTACTGATAACAGCCTTTCTCCATACTCTTCGGAAGCTCCCTTCAGGAAGTTGAAGGCTGCTATCAAATCCCCCCCTCACTCTTTGCTTCTGCAGACTAAGCAGACCCAACCCTCTCAGCCACTCCTCATAGGTCATATGCTCCAGCCCCCTAATCATTTTGGTTGCCCTCCGCTGGACCCTCTCCAATGCGTCCACATCCTTTTTGTAGTGGGGGGCCCAGAACTGGACACAATACTCCAGATAGTCAAGAGCCGAATAAAGGGGAATAATCACGTCTCTGCATCTGCTAGCAATGCTCCTCTTAATGCAACCTAATATGCCATTAGCCTTCTTGGCTACAAGGGCACACTGTTGAGTCCTATCCAGCTTCTCATCCACTGTAACCCCCAGGTCCTTTTCTGCAGAACTACTACTTAGCTGGTTGGCCCCCAGCCTGTACCAATGCTTGGGATTCTTCCGTCCCAAGGACAGGACTCTGCACTTGTCCTTGTTGAACCTCATCAGATTTCTTGTGGCCCAATCCTCCAATTTGTCTAAGTCACTCTGGACCCTATCTCTTCCCTCAACCGTATCTACCTCTCCCCCTAGCTTAGTGTCATCTGCGAACTTGCTGAGGGTGCAATCCATCCCCTCATCCAGGTCATTAACAAGGATACTGAACAAAACCGGTCCTAGAACCGAACCTTGGGGCACTCCGTTAGAAACCGACCGCCATCCTGACATTGAGCCATTGATCCCTACCCGCTGGGCCCAGCCTTCTAGCCAGCTTTCTATCCATCTTACTGTCCATTTATCCAATCCACATTCCCTTAACTTGCTGGCAAGAATATTGTGGGAGACCGTATCAAAAGCCTTGCTAAAGTCAAGGTATATAACATCCACTGACTTCCCCATGCCCACAGAGTCAGTTACCTCATCATAGAAGCTAATCAGATTGGTCAGGCACGACTTGACCTTTGTGAATCCATGCTGACTATTCCTAATCACTTTCTTCTCTTCCAAGTGCCTCAAAATGGATTCCTTAAGGATCCCTTCCATGATTTTTCCAGGAACCGAGGGAAGACTGACCGGCCTATAGTTCCCTGGATCGTCCTCCTTCCCTTTTTTGAAGATGGGCACTACATTTGCCTTTTTCCAATCATCCGGGATTTCTCCCAATCTCCACGACTTTTCAAAGATAATGGCCGAAGGCTCCTCAATGACATTTGCCAACTCCCTCAGTACCCTGGGATGCATTAAGTCCGAACCCATGGATTTGTGTACGTTTAGCTTTTCTAAATAGTTCCTATCTTGTTCTTTACCCACTAAGGCAGTGGTCTACAACCTTTTTACACACAAGATCACTTTTTAAGTCTCAGAACAGGCGAAGATCTACTGCCCCGCCCTCTCTATTCTCCTCCTGTCCATCACTTGCTATTCTTTACCCACTAAGGCAGTGGTCTACAACCTTTTTACACACAAGATCACTTTTTAAGTCTCAGAACAGGCGAAGATCTACTGCCCCACCCCATCCTTGAAGCCCCGCCTATATTGCATGAGGAAATCTAATGTAAATGTACTGCGCAGGTGCAAGGTTCAGAGAGGGCTCAAGAGCTACTCTTAGAGCCCCTGAGATCTACCGGTAGATCACGATCTACTGGTTGGTGACCACGGCACTAAGGGCTGTCCATCTTCATCCCATCTTAAGTCACTTAGTGCAATAATCTGGGAGCCGACCATGTCCGTGAATACAGAGGCAAGGAAAGCATTGAGTACTTCAGCTTTTCCCACATCATCTGTCACTAGGTTACCTCCTTCATCCATTAGGGGCCGCACACCCTCTGATCACCTTCTTCTTGTTAACATGCCTGACCATTCTCAAGCTATACATTTAAACCTCTCGCTGGTCGTTTGTCCAAGTTTCCACTTTTTGTAAGCTTCTTCTTTGTGCTTAAGTTCACCAAGGATTTCCCCTGTAAGCCAGTCCAGTCTCCTACCATGTTTGCCTCTCTTGCTACGCGTCGGGATGGTTTCTTTCTGTGCCTTCAATAAGGCTTCTTTAAAATACTGCCAGCTGTCCTGGACTCCTTTCCCCTTCATGTTAACATCCCAGGGGATTCTGCCCATCAGGTCTCTGAGGGAGTCGAAATCTGCTTTTTTGAAGTCCAAGGTGTGTATTTTACTACTCTCTTTTCTTCCTTTGGTCAGGATCCTGAAATCTACCATCTCATGATCACTGCTTCCCAGGTTGTCACCCACCTCTACTTCCCCTATTAGTCCCTCCTTGTTTGTGAGCAGAACGTCAAGCGGCGCACGGCCCCTGATCAGTTCCTTCAGCAGTTGTACCAAGAAGTTATCCCCAACATTCTCCAAAAACTTCCTGGATTGCCTGTGTACTGCCGTATTAGTGTCCCAACAGATGTCAGGGTGATTAAAGTCCCCCACGAGATCCAGGGCCTGCAATCTGGAAGCTTCTCTCAGTTGTCCAAAGAAAGCGTCATTTACCTCATCCACCTGATTCGGTGGCCTGTAGCAGACACCAACCACAACATCACTGCTGCTGTTTGCATCTCTAAATTTAACCCATAGAATCTCTCAACAGGTGTTTCTCCCTCTATATCTTGGAGTTCAGAGCAATCATAGTGCTCTCTTACATATAGTGCAACTCCTCCTCCTTTTTTCACCTGCCTGTTCTTCCTGA